ATTCCGCTTTGCCATGTACAGAAAGCCCCTCGCGTCTCCTGTCTCATCTCCTCTCACAACGACTAACAAGTAGGAGACGTATTTTTATTCCCACAAAATAAAACAGACAAGGAGACCGAGACTTCAGCAACCTGCTTAAAGGTCCCAGGTCGTTAGTGAAGAAGGATCTGAGCTGAGACTGAACCCAAGTCATCAGCCACGTTTCCACCACCCCACCACTCAGTACTTATGGGGCAGGTGATACCTAAGTTGGAAGCTCAGGGGAGGCCTCTCACCATTCGAGGTGACACCAAGAACTGCCCACGCGAGGTCCCTTAAGAGGAGCCCCTGGAGGAGCTTATGGGCGAGACAGGAGGGAAACACCACCGAGCACCGGGGCCCTGGCAGCAGCGGGTACGCGGGATGGGCCCCAGAGGGCAGTGCTGCAGTCAGAGAGGGCACAGATTCCTGGACCAGTGAGAGAAGCAGGCGTGGCCACAGCGGGCAGGCAGACCAGCACAAGCAAAGGCGCCCGAAGAGAAACACCGTTGTATGTGGAGCTGTCGGAGCTTCGACGACCAGAGCCCAGGGTGAAAGCGAGAGTCAGGGCCAGTGAGAGCCTTACTATGTGCCACTCAGGAGCCTTCGACAGGCTGAGGGCCCTCCTTTCCCTGGGACTAATACGTGGTACCCAGTACCCTGGCCGGGTTTGCTTTCACATCCCATGAGCTCACAAATCCACTGCCCTAATGCCACTGTCCCCCACACCCAGCCACAAGCCCTAACAAAAATGACCCGCATCAAAGGCCGTTAAAAGTAAGAGTCATGCTGCCAAAGAAAAGCCCATCAATCCTCAAGTTAATGCTTCTATCTCGTAAAAATGACAAAATCTGGGGAATGGAAAGCCTTTTCCTGTGACAATTGTCCTTATAACCACCTGAGCTCACTCGTATTCCCCATGTTAGAGGGGCTGGAGGAGGGGAAGGACGAGAAATCCCCAGATTGAATCACCTCCATCTGCACAACCAGGACAGGTTTACAGATGACAGGAAAGCAGGAAAGACCCCTCCTCAAGCCCACTATCATTCTTTTCTCTCTCGGCTGCTCTTCTAACCCAGTTAATTTCCCTATAGCAATATTTAGAAATGTTAATTATCAATGCTATGTATAGCATGAGCTCTCCAGAAGAAAGGTCACCTGACAAATTAAAATATCTGTCATTAAAATAATAACAAACCACCATGATGCGTAACATCCCGGGTGTTCAAATGAGAAAGTGGAGGCCCAGGGAGAATTTAATTATCGATCTGAGGTTACAGTGATCAGAGGTCGAGGTTAATGGAAGAACCCTTTGGACCTCCTGACTTTTGTCCTTTCTCAGAAGATTCCAATTAATCACACACCAGCGCACTCAGGCCTTCAAGGAGACGGACGTTTGACCAGCAGAGTCAATGTCCCAAGTTCCTCTCCTGCTAAACACAGTGTCTCCAGATCACTAATAACCTGACCTCAGGGAACCGGCAGTTCCCCCTCATGCAGCTTGAAGGGAAGACAGGTACTGAGTGGCCGTGATTCTTCCAGGTGAGTGTGGGAGGCAGGAAGGATGAGCACTCACACAGGAGGCCATCTCCCTGGGGCTGAGTGCAGACCTAGGGGAGTCGCCAGGAAGTAGGAGCAGGGGATGGGGAAGGGGGGTAGTGTACTTAAGAAAAAGTCCAAGACGAGGCAGGTGGAGGTAAGCAGCTCAGGGAACAGATGTGGGCTGTGTCACCACAATTACACGTTTAGATGGGAGGTAAGTGGGGGAGCTGGCACCAAGAGAGAACTGACCCGTGACACAGGGGAAAGGGACAAGTGCCACAGATAGGGATGGCATCCAAAACTCTAAAGCCCAGTGAGGCATCCACTCGGATGGGAAGCTGTGTGGACACTGGGCCTTCATAGTCGCTAGGTCATGGGGAGCTAGTCACCACTCCACAGCCAGAATCCAATACAGTGACAAGTGAACCCAGGCGGTGTGTCACCAGGGGACACCAGCCTCCCCAACGCTAGACACTGGTTGCTCCGTGAGTCTGCCTCGTCTGTCCCTCTCTCCCTTCGAAGAAGCCCACATGCGTATCACGCGTCTCCCCAGCTTCCACACGGACCCTGCTGCTCCAGTGCTGAGCTCTGCGGGGGCCATGAAGACAAGCGCAACTGCAACGCAACACCAAAGGCAGGGAGAGCAGGGCCGCAGAGGAGCCGCGGAGCCGCCACCCGCTCGGGACCACAGCCTGGCAGCCACTCGCTCGATCACCTAAAGTCCTACTCAGTCAGCAATGCATCTCCACATCGACCAGCACACACATACCCACAGTAAGTGGCAAGTGCTGCAAGGACATTAGACCCCGAGTTCCCAGGAGGAGGGTTCATCATGACGCTCTCGGGAAAGAACGCTGGGGCCACGACAGAGGCCACCAGGGCAAGAGGTGGATGGGCGGAGAGAGAGGCAGGTCAAGGGCATGCGTGACATCCGAGGAACAGAGTTCAAGGACACACAGTGACACAGGGGAGGAAGAGGCGGCGTGAGAAGGACGCAGCCACACGCTGTGGCCGCTCAGAACGCCACCCTGCGCCGGGATTCCCCGCTCTTCCTCTGCTGAAGAACCATGCTGCGCTTCTGACGCAGCCGGGAGGACTGACCACCTTTCTCCTGTCTGGGGAGAGCGCACAGGGAAGCAGGAGTCAGGCTCTGCCACGGCACGGCGCTTCTCCCCGTGTGGTAAAGACACTCAGACAACGTCGACACCTGTTTTTCAGCAGCAATGACTAGTTCTTGGCACCAGTTCCCTTATAAACGCTTTAGAGGCATCCATGCCGTGGAGCCCCACAGCCGCCCCAGGAGAGACAGGCCACTTCACTACCCTGGAGCCACACATCCGCCAGTCAGGAAGGAGAACAGTGGGGAAAGCAGGGGTAGGGGGCGAAAGGGAGAGAGG